TAAAAATTAAGCTTCATAGAATTTCATATTGGTAAATTAAATGGGAAGAACATGTTACTTATTGACTGCAGAGGCATACAGACAAGCAAACTGAAAATAATACGTATTTATTAGGAAACTATGAGCAATATACATTAGTTTAACGTAAAGCTGATTGACCTCGTAGCGATGAGGAATTATAGCATCTTATCAGCACAGGAAAATGGCTGTAATAGAACAAGTTCTTGACGCAATGTCTAATAATAAATGAAATATTTTCCTTCTTTAATATGGCAAAGTGAATTGTAAATGAGTTGGATGTCATATTAAAATGTAACGGTAGAATGAGTTTGAGCATATGCTAGAAGCAACAATTCAGTATTGTAACTATTCTAGAAACTGAGATCTGTTCACGCTATGAAACATTACGTAACCTAGTCAAATGAACATATTTTCTATAATTTGTTTTAACATATCTCTTTTGTAAATTTCACTGAAAATTATCTCTTCGTATTTTTGTTATCATCTTATTACAATTATCAGGGTTGATATCGTAGAGCATAACTTTGAAAGAACTGAAAAGGGTTTAGAAAATGGATGATAGTAATAATTATTTTTTATACAAGCAACTCCGTTATTGGGATTCTTCTTGCGCAGAAAGATTAGATTCATAGGCTCTAACGGTTCTAAGGCTGTGCACTCAATCGCCGTCTTCGCTGCTCCATAACAGCTTTGGGGCATAGAATTTTCTTAAAAGCTCTTCTAAACTCCATGTTGAGAATACCATAGAGGAATGGATTTAGTGACGAATTTATGTATCCTAGCCATGTAAAAGCTTGGTTGACCTGAAAATTAGAGGTTAAGACATACTTCTACAACAGTCCAAAAATTTCAATTGGTAGTTTTTTCAATTACCTTCGGATGAAGTGAGCATGTTTCACAGAAAGGCAGTATGACGTAGGCACAAAAGAATGGTAGCCAGCAGAATGAGAAAATGAAGATTATCACAGCAATAGTCTTCGCTGCTCGCTTCTCTTTCGCAACGCTGATTTTCTCCCGTTTTCTCAGCATCATCGTTGGATTCTGTATTTATCGTATGAAATGGTGCACATTTTCGCAAAATTTAGGAAGGGGGAAAACAACAATTAGCACACGGGATATTTTGCCTTCCTTATGCTTAGAGAACCCTTACGCTGCTGCTTGTACCCCAATAGTACCTGCTTAACTTTTTTTTACTAAAATAGTGATAACCCGTCACCACAGCAGAAAGCTTATGAGCTAAAATATGATTTCAAAAGAAACAAGTAAAATAGAAAATATCTTCTACCTCTTCCTCCTTCCCAATTGCTTTGGTGCCATTATCTTGATACCTTAAACACTTGGAAGTCTCATTTGATTTTCGTGCAGTGCCATCATTCACCTTAAAGAGTACAAGATATGAATAATATTGTGTAGCAAAGAGAATACATAACATAAAGAAAATAACCAAACTATAAGGACAAGGGTATTGGCTTTATCCGCATCTTGTACCAAGCGCGCATCTTCTCCAAACCTGTTGGTTTTACCACGTTCACCAGAATATCGTTTTGGACGTCGTTTGCGCTCATCGCCAACGACAGATGTGTTCTGGATGCGCATTAGAGCGCTTCGACCTATAAGAGGATTTTTAGAGGAAGTCTAAGAAGCTTTGGTGAAGCTCATTTGACTATGTTTACGAATTATAATCACAAGCAAATGAAAGATCTGACTTAATGGCATTTAATGTATATACAAACTTCTATTTACGTAGAAACAACTCTTTTACAGTCAATAACTCTTTGTCGAACATTTGAAATTGGGTGAATGTTAATTACAGCTTGTTAATTCGAATTAACATTGTAATATGATTAAACCCATAAAATTAGGAGAATAGAGAGCTTAAGATAAAACAAGCTGCAATGAAGATTGCATTGAAACTTCACGGGCCAAATTATCCTTTTTTGCTTCGCTTATGGAAAGGGAATGATTTGAAATTACTAACAAAACGGGAAAAAACCTCTGTTTTTGCGAATCCGCTGTCGGGCGCTCAGAAAGATTTTAACATAGACGATAATCATAACTAGAAGAGGTAGAAAAAATGATCCAGATGCAGAAAATACGACGAAGGCCCTGTAAACAAGTGCTTTAATCTTTCGTTATAAGAGGCAAATCACCATCATTTCTTTCTTTTTTTTTGGAATTACAAACAATCTATAGGGCTTCATACGGCATTGCCGCAGACATTTGTCTTTACTCGAT